AGGACATGAGCAGTAAGCTACATACTACCCAAGCTAGGGCTAGAGAGGGGTTTTGCCTCCTGTGACAACTGTGATCAATTGGTAGCGGATGCTTAGAGTGGTATAAGAAGGAATCTGAGGTCCAAACTGGGCTCGGTCAAAGAATACGCCCAGACCGGTCAGAAAATGCTTACTGTTGGTAAAGGCAGGGGAAATGGCAGTACCGTGCCAGGGCTGAACCACACGAGTCTCTCAGTAGAGGCTGGTCAAGAAATCTATATACCAGGCACCAGTGGCGGATTAAACAAAACCCTCTACTTTCTCTCACTCCTGAAAGCCCAGTAAAATAATAACAAAGGAATTTTTTTTTTCTTTAATGTATAAACCCACAAGGATGGGGAGAATGAGAGAAGAGACAACAGTAAAAACATTTTGGTGGGGTGAGGAGAAGCCAAGAAACAACCTGATTTATACCACAGAATCTCCAAAATGCTAAATAATTAAAGGCAATTGGACCCTCTGCAGGGAGAGGGGTGGGCTAAAATAAAGAGAATTGAAAGCCTCTTTAAAAAGCAGGTGGATGTCCCAGATCCCTTCAGCCACTCTGAGGAGTTAGATGATTGCCCCCTCCCTACCCCAGCAAAAAACACCTGGAGTTTCCTCTCCCCCTTCTCCTCCAGAGAAGGTAAAAAAGAGAGGGTCTCTGGATTGGGGTACATCAGGCACAGCTCGGGTGTTTTACTGGAAACACCATGGAGGGGCATATGAACATGCAGAAGCTGAGATTTCCAGCCTTCTTCTCCACCTAGTTCCCAGATCACTGGCAGCAAGCCTCTCCCCCACCATCCAAGAAAAGACTGGAAGAGCCTCTTCTGAGGACTCTCACCAGCTCAAGAAGTAATGACATCAGAGGTTCCCCCAAATAAAAGACCCAGCCAGATCACCCTACAGTGAAGCTCACAAGTGACAAGGCCACCACCACATCTTCAGCTCTGTAACCCCCCACTCAAATGTGAGCAGACAACCAAGTGTATTAGAAATACAAGAAACACCTTTAACATGAAAGGCAGAGACCTAAACAATTGAACAGACAAAAGCAACTTGGGGAAACTGAGTCTGTGCAGGAAGGAACAAACTTCCAAAAAGAAAATCATTAAGCTCCTCCAGGAGATAAGAGAAGACACTGAAACCATAAAACAAAAGCAAGAGATACACACACATCACACACACATATATATGGATACATATATACTCAAAGAACAAAAAAAAAGCTTTTAATTTAAAATACTAAAAATATGATTACAGTCAAGAAAAATTCAGCAGAAGGATGATAAAATTGAGAAAATCTCCCCCAAAAGTAGAACCAAGAAATAAAGAGACAGATACTAGGAAAGAAAAGTTAAGAAAATTAGAGGCCCGGTCCAAAATATCTACTATCTGAACAATAAGAGTTTCTGAAAGAGACATCACAGAAAATAGAGGAGAAAATTACAAATGAGATAATTCAAGAAAATTTCCCAAACTAGAGGATGAAAGTTTCTGGATTCAAAGAGCCCAGCACAATGGATGAAAGTAGACCCATACCAAGGCACAGTATCATGAAATTTCAAGATTATGGAGGCCAAAAGAAAATTCTATAAACTTCCAAAAGGACACAGCAAGTTTGTAACTTGTACACAGGTTACTGGCAAAAACTGAGGAATCAAAACAGTTCTGAATTTCTCAACAGCAATACCACAAGCCAGAAGGTGACAGAACAATGCCTTCAAAATTTCCATCCTAGAATTCTAAACCATCAATTGTCAGTGGAAAACAGATATTTTCAGGCATTCATTGTCTCAAAAAATAGACATCCCATGCATCTTTGACAGGAAGCTCCTTGAGGATGTGCTCTACCAAAACAAGGCAGTCTACCAAGATAGAGGAAGACATGTGCTACAGGTAACAGGAGATCCAACACAGCAGACAGATGATGGGGATCCTGAGGATGATGCCAAACGGAGGTGGTCAAGCGGACAACTGTGCCCTATGGGTAGAGAGGGCAACCAGGCCAGGTTAGAACAAGCCAAGAGGCTCAGGGGCAGCTTCTTCGGGAAAATGAAATTGATAGACTACCTGATGCATCTGAGCGAAGATTTAGAAAACCGGCCAAGAGCTTTGGGTTAAATTAATGACGAGTACCTAAAAAACTAACCAAATGAACAAACAAAGCAATTATTAACTCCAATGAAAACAAAAAGTTGTACTTGGCTTAGCTATGAATATTGATCTAACCAAAATTACTGTTTAACTATTGCAAGGATGGGAAAATAAGGAAGCTGTGGTTGGGTTGGGGCTTAGAGGAAAAAAGAGAGCCAAGTCATCATCTTCCACAATGGGAAGTCAACAGATAACGCCTCAAACTGAAAAACTCAAGAAGTATCAACTATAAGCAATAAGGTCAAAATGACCAGCTCAAAGAATTACAGTGGTTGTTTCTGGAGATGGAAAAATGTAACTTGGATAAAAGTTTAAAACTGAAAAACAGAACAAAACAAAACAAAATTGGCTTCAATGCCCACACATTTTTCCATTATTTGCTTTTTCTTTGTTCCCCTAATAACAATTTGTTTGGAAAAATTCCATCCTTGTTTCCCCTAAACAAAAGATAATGTAATTTTCACTTCTAGACCACAGTAGCTGTAGTCATCCGAGCTCTGAGCAGTCAAACATGGTGGAAAAGTTAACAGTTATAATCCAGGCCAGGAAAGGACTGGTTGAGCTAGGGCAGAGCAAGCCTAGGTGGAGGCGAGCTGGGAGGTGGAGGCAACTACTAAGCCCCTCTCCTCTGGGGAGCTTTTTGACAAAGCTATTCTCATGGCATAATCACAGGGTACGGGGTAATTTTACAATTGCCAGTGACCATGGGCCAATTTCACTCCTTTCTAACAGATTTACACGCCCAATTTAGGACCCTAATCCAATCAAGGCAGCTGGCCCCCAAAGTGGTTATTCTGGGTTCAACCACAGTCACTCCACTTTCCCTGTGCAGCCTGGATAAGAGAGCACAGTAAGGGCTCTGAAACAAGTGACACTGTCACCAACAGATATTTGATGATACTGAGTATCCAGTGCTGAGATACTGAGCATCCATAGGGCACCCAGCACCAGGCTGAGGGTCCACACCCCTGTCAACTATGCAGACCAAGTATCCCTGCCCTAAACAATAATTCTCCCCAGGGGTGGGAATCCAGAGAGAGGTGGAGTGGGATGGAAGCTAAGGAGCTGGAAAAGCTGGGGCGCGGACAGGAGGCACCAACCTGGTTAACCTGGAGGAACTTGCAGGCAGAGGTGCGCTTGGAGGCCCAAGGCCCAGGCTCCCAAAACTCTGGATACCCAGAGGAAGGCAGGGAGACCAACAATTCTTCCCCAAGCATAAAAGTGGCCAGACACTGCCCACAACCCCCGCAACCACCCTGTCAAGGGTCAACTTCAGGCAGCAAAGGTCGCCATTCTCTGAGCTTTACCATGACTTGATAAAACACAGCCCTTGCCCTAAAGGTCTAACTAGCTGCTGAGAAAACACGACAACTGTTTGATCTTGATACAGAATAAGTACGTAAACAGGTCGAAACTGCTAGAGCATACATACATTAATATTCTATATTCTTTCCTACTTGAGGAGATGTGAAAATTTTAGTTCAAGGACCTATGTGGGGCAAAGGTATCGCCAACTAGAGCACAGCACTGATTTGCATGATTTACAACACTTGCCCTATACAGTTCCCAGGGCCACAATGTACACATCCTTGTGGGAAGAATCAAGATCATTAACATAAACACGCTGCAGTAAGCATCATGAGCTGGCAAGAGTAGTAATATACTGATCAGATTAACTGGGGCATTGGGAAGGTATAGATCTTTCTCAAACACTGAAAATGTAACTAAACTAAAAAATACTTTCAAATATATAATGAGAAAATTACACACTCTTCTCCATATATGGAGACATTCTATAACATGTGATTTTTGCCAACTAAGGAGCTACCAGCATCACAAACTAACCTGTTAAATCCTAAACTTATTTGGGAAATCTATTGGTTTGTTGGGGTTGTTTTTTTCTCCCCAGCTCTTTAGAGGAGAATCATCCAGAAGAAAGTAAATGCTCAGGATTTCCTAAGAGGAAAATGGGCACTCACTGGAAAAATACAGGGTATATGCTCAAAACGCTTAACTATTTTGGATAACCTTCAAACCCACTTAGCCACCAGCCATCCTGTTGTTCCAAGTTAACATTGAGATCAACCCTTCTAATCAAATATTCCAGTCTCCAAAGAATGGCAATAGATGAGCCTGTTTCCGAACCTGGTGCAGAGCCACGTGTTATTCTTCCATTAAAAATAAAAATCAAACCAAAGGAAACGTAGGACCCGAGGAAAAGTGCACACTCCCGGGTCAAGGCCCCAATTTTTGCAATACAGGGATTCACCGAACCCCTGTTTTCAAGATTCAAACACAATTTCCCAAATAAAAAAATTTGAGTTTGGTGGAGTGAGGCACTCGGACACGCGCAACTGTGGAATGTCGCCGTCGATTCTGACAACTTGCAATCAAGACTGCGCTGCTGCCCAAGCAAAGAGGAGGAATCAACCTTGACGCGCAGCTGGGAAGTGAACCCAACGCTGAACTTGCCGCGGGGCGGCCTCGGCCCAGGGACCCAAGGGGAAAAGGGGCAGGTGCTCCTCGGGAGAGGCCAGTCCCGGAGCCGGGAGGCGGAGAGGCAGCGGCCGCCCGGAAAGCGCGGCTACGCCGGGGCGCGCACCTGTCCCTTCTTCCGGGACCAAAGGGGACGGGATCCCTCACCTGGCGCGGCGCTCTGTGCTCGCGGTGGTGCGGAGGGGTGAAAATCCTTCCTGGTTCCACGAGGGTCAGTTTCCAGGCTTGTGGAATCCACCTCTGGCCGCACGCATCCCAGTCCCGACCCTTCCCGCCCGGGGTCCCGCAGTCTCGAGGCCGCCCCTGCCGGCCCACGGCGTCCTTACCTGGCTGGAGCGCGCCGGCTACGCCAAGCCCTGGAGAGTGAGGTCCCGCCGGCGCCGCGGAGTCCGGAGCCTGGCGCCCTCCGGCCCCGCCCCCGATCGCCCCGGCCCGCCCCGGCCCCCGATCGCTCCGCCCCCCATCGCTAAGGCCCGCAGCGACAGGTTCCCACCGCCCTGCCCGCGGATTTGAACCTGGAGGCCAAGTGAGTCGGCGGCGCGTCCAGGTTCCCGCGACGCAGCGGGAGATTCAGAGAAGTCGCAGGAGCGTCCCTTGTGTTCCAGGACGCGGCGCTGGTCCTCCCTAGGCCCGGCCCACCTACGCCGGGGGAACCGCCCCTCGACGGCTGGACGCCGCCGGCCCGGGAGAACCCCGAGTGCCTCCTGTGGGTGACCGGGGACTTTGTCGGAATTAGGGACCGAGCCTTCTCTTCCGCTGAGTGGTGGCAGGCCAGGCGGCTGATGCGGTGCAGTGGAGCGAAGCAACGAGTTTTACCAAAAGAATAAGTCTGTTTACTGTCAAACCTGAGGCAGCGGAGCATATCTGATACACGTAGATGGTCACGTGTCCTCACTCTTAATGTAGTAACACTGCACTCACTCACTGAAGAGTAAAAAACTGCTCTTGCGTAAGACTATGTGCTAGGCACTGTTGTAGATACTGGACACGCATTAACATTTCTATGAAGTGTATGTTATCACAATCCCCCATTTTACTTGTGGTGAAAGTGAGGCATAGAGAAGTCGCATAACCTGCCAAATGTCGCCTAACTAGTAAATTGAAAAGCTCGGATTCAAATCCAGGTAGTCCTCCTCCAGAATCTGGGCTCTAAACCACTGCTATCCTGACTCACAAAATTTGAGTGTCCACCATGTCCCATGAACTGTTGCAGGCCTGGTGAATACAAGACAAGGACTCTACCCTCAAGGAGCTTTTAGTCTAGTGTGGCGAGAAGGACAATAAGTAATCAATAAGGAAGTAAAAATGAAGCCGCGCATATGTGAGAAGTGTCTTGACTGAAATAAAGCAGGGTGATGGAATTGAGAGTGATGGGGAGGGGGAGGCCACTTTGGATCTGGTGGTTGTGGAGGCTTCTCTGAGGAGGTGACAGCGGAGCCGAGAGATGAAGATATGACAGGTAGTCAACCTGAAGATAAAGCTAAGGGAATGGCAAATGCATTAATAATTATCATGCTTCTTGCTTTTTTAGGACTTAAAAATATGCCTTCCTGTATTGTCTCTCCCTTGATCATACAATAACCCTGAGAAGTCAGACAAGATTCCAATTTACAGGAAAAAAATAATCTGAGGACGGTATTGGTTTAATGACTTGCCTAAAGTTATACAATTAACTAGGAAAAGGGGGCAGGGTGGGGATGGGAAGAATGCACGGATTTGAATCAAGGCCTTCTGATTCCAAATCCTCTTTTGCTCTGGTCGGGGCCGTGAGTATAGTGACCTGTCCTCAGAATGAATTTAGCACAATTTCTCTTTTGTGATCTACTGTCTCCTCCTAGCCCCTCTCTTCTGCCTCTTATCCAGTTCAGATACTTGTGTTGACTAGTTAGCATAATTTCCCCCAGGGCAGGTGTTCTTTGAGGGAGTAGAGGTCAGGAAACTTCTGAAATTGTATGCAAAAAATTGTGTGTGTGTGTGTATGAAGGAGAGAAAGAGAGAGTTATAGTTATATACTTACGGTAAAAAAAGTTGGTTTTCTCCCAAGAAAAATGCTCACATACATATACGCATAAGTGAGAGGACTTGGAACCTTCATCAGATGGACTGATCCCAGAAAGGTAAGAGCCACCGTCTTAAGGGGTTAACTGATAATGTGGTAATTAAAAGAAATGATTTCCAACTCACTTTGTCTGTGCTAGCTGGGTGACTCTGGTGGCTCTTATTTCTGACTCAGTGGAAAGGAGGCTCTCAAAGTTTATGACGTTTGATTGAAAGGGCAGCAAACCCATACCCTCATATAACCCCTTCCTAAAGTTTAAAATTAAAAGAGATGAAAATGTCTATGTTGTCCTCTTAGTTCTCAAGAAAACCAGAGAACTGATCTGTAAACAAAACATCTACATCAATATAACTCTTTATCGGTGATAACAGGGGTAGTTTCCATAACCGTATATTACTTCCTGAAGAAAATGAAATTCATTACATTATCAAATAGTTTAAGTAGGTAATATACCTATATCATTCCAAAGCAAGTGGCAGAGAATACTGGTAATTGTTTTCAGGAGAGTGTTGATAAAAAGAGAGACAGAAAGAGGTGAGACTATTAGAGAACTTCAACTACATCAATAAAAAGGTGTCAAACTGAACTCAGGATGTGGTAGGCTAAAAAAAAAAGTTAAATCTTATTATTTCTGATGGGAAAAGTTCAACAGCTTTAATAGAAAACAGAATACAAAGTTTAGGCCTATATGACTCAAAACTTTTACATGGAGCCCTCATCAAAAGAAGGAATCTGTTGGTGGACTTAAAAGGATTTCTCCCTGTGCCTCCAAGGAGAAGATTCAAACAATATTATTACGGCCTTCTTTATTTTAATAAAATTGAGATACAGAATAAAAGGCATTTATGTATTCTTCTTCTTGGAGACAGGGACTCCCTTCTTACAAGATAGCCCTATGGCTTCTATAAAATTTGTGTGTTTAGATGAGCAATATCAGGTTGACATAATTTTAGTTCCTTGAGAGAAGAAAATGCCTCTTTTTAACTTGCATATAGATTGCACATTGTGCATAAGAACACACAGGATCAACCTGGAAGATTTGTAAATAAAGTACTGTTTGTATTTGGAGCTTCTCATGCTCTGGGGAACCTAGCCCATCACAGGTGAATAATACGTGTTGAATGAATGAATGACGACAACAATGATGATGATAATGCAGACCTTGTCAGTCTTGTACCAAGAGTCTGTTCATCCATGAAGATGACATCATTGTGGTGGTGTCATATCTGCCTCTCTTTCCATCATGTACTGAAAGTAGTTACTTCTTTGGAACTACACAGAAGGAAGGAAAGAGTTTTAATTGTTGGACACAAAATCAAAAATTATACTCCTGGGAACAGTTGCTAAATAAATAATTCAAAAGAAAGAAAAAGCATCATATGCAAAGTACTTTTATAAGACCATCACTTAGAATAATAAAATAATTAAATGTCCAATAATAGAGAAATGTTTAAGCAAGATATATCACTAGCATGGAATGTCAGGCTGTTATTAAAAATTCTATCTATGTTAATAAAAAGAAATGTGGAGGAAAACTTATGAACATTAAATGAAAAAATAGAACACATGCTTTATGCATCCTATGATTACAACTAAATAAAAATTATGTGGGAAAAATTGTTGGGTTGAAAATAAGAATTATGATGGACAGTTATTGAGGGGGTTTCTATGTGCCAGGCTCTGTTTTTCGGTGCAATAGATTAATTCGTCTAAGTCTCACAATAACTGCACGAAGTAGGTAGAGTTGTTATATTCATTTTACAGATGAAGAAACTGAGGCAGAGAAGGTCTACGTAATTTGCCCAAAGTCACACAGTGAGTGGCAGAGCCAGAATGTGAACATACAGCAGTACAAGTCCAGAGTTTACACTCTTGACAGTGCAACATTGCCAGAGATTTCCTTGTATAATGTTTTTATGTTGATTTGATAGTAAGCAAAACCTTTTTAAATTACAGAGTCAGAGAAGATGTCATAGAGGTAAAACCAGATTATACTCAGAAGAAGAAACAGGTAAAGATGAGAAAGATATTGAGGGGAACCATCTGGGTTTGGTCAATTCGTGTTTTGGATTAGGATCTAAAGAGTGTTTCAGATGGATCCAGCATATCAACGACTTGATAGTTTATGAAGATTCAAATAAAATGAGCTATATTACAATAAAATGTTGTATGCGGTATTATTAGTATGACTAAAAAGTGTATTCTGGCCTGATGGCTTGCACTTGCTGTTTCTTCTGCCTGGAATGCTCTGTACCCAGATCTTTTTGAAGCTGCCTCCTTCTCAATGGTGGCAGTCGTGATAATGTGACCATCACTGCATTAGCAGGAAGCTGAGAAAACATTGGTGAATGATCACAACAAAACTCCCTGCTACAGTGGAACTTACATTCTGGTGGAAAGGTCAGTCATTTAAAATTCGATTTAGCTACAAGTAAGGAACATCCCCTTGAGGCATGCTGAATAAAGACCCATCAAAGATGTCTACATCTTAAATCCCCAGAACTCATGAATGTTACCTTACATGGCAACAGGGACTTGGAAGATGTGATTAAGTGAAGGATCTTGAGATGGGGAGGTTATCCTGGACTATCCAGGTGAGCCCAATGTAATCACAAGGGTCTTATAAGAGGGAGGCAGGAGGATTGGAATCAGAGTCCGTCCTCATCAGATGTGATAAGAGAAGCAGAGGACATACAAACAGCAAGACAGAGATTTGAAGATGCTACACTGCTGGCTTTGAAGATGAAGGAAGAGACAGCAAGCCAAGGAATGCAGGCAGCTTCTAGAAGCTGGCAAAGGCAAGGAAACAGGTTCTCCCCTAGAGCCTCTACTAGGAGCCAGCCCTTCCAACCCCTGGGTCTTAGCCCAGTGAAACTGATTTTGGACTTCTGACCTCCAGAAATGTAAGAGAACACATTTGTGTTGTTGTAAGCTGGTAAGTTTGTGGTAATATGTTACTGCTGCCATAGAAAAGTAATAGAGCTCTTAATAGGAGTTTATTTTTCTCTTATGTGTAAGAAGTCAGTGTCAGGCTGGCATGATGTTCCATGGTGTGAGGGCCCCAGCTCCGTCTGTCTTTCATGTAGGTGAGAGAACCTGGAAGGAAATATGAATATCTCCAGGGACTCATGATATGGCATCAGGCCATGTAGTCACCCATGTCAGTGTTTCTCAAACTTGAGTAAAGAATAAAGCCCTTTTAAACAAAACATTTTCACCATAATTCACTTCAGTATATATAAATACAAAACTAGTTATACATTATTTATGTTTATGGCATTTCCTACCTATTTAAAACCAAAATAAATTTGCAAAATAAATTCAAGCAAGACTACATAACCAATGA